TTACAGCACCTGGTATTCCCAAGTGGTCACCCATCTAGGTATTGACCAGGATCAGCATTGCTTAACCTTGGCAATCATACGAGAATCAGTGTTTCAACGTGATATGGCTGTAAGCCTGGTATAGGTTTGATTTCACTAGCAAGATGTTACAACTGATAATAAGGGTAGATGTTTTTAATTTTTTATAGTAGATAATTCAGTATTTTTAGTTGGTTCAACAGGAGTGGTATATTTTTTTTATGTTTCTTAAAACATCCTGCTTAAAAATTTTGCATAACTAGTTACAATAAAGTGACAGTAATGCTATTGTCTCTGTGAAATATGTTGTTTATATTTAGTTTTGAAAAAAACAATTTTATTTGGCAGTCTATAATGTAGTTTGGAAAGCCATTGTTAACTAGCATTAGTTTTATGTTACTAAGTTCTTTAACCTCTAACACACTGCATTATTAAAATTACTTCCCTTTCCACTGTATTTTTTTTCAAGGCCTCTCAACTGCAGTATCCTTATTGTTAATTTCACTTAAAGTTGTTTTCTGTTGCCATAGCAGGATATGTCAACACAACTATGAAATTCAAACACACTATTCTTCAGGGATCAGAGTCACCTTCAGTAGCAGGATAAACTTTTTGTATAGTAAATGAAGTCACATACAGAGTGATAATGGTTAATGAACAGCTTGCAGAAGGATAAGACCACATGTACGCTCATTAGGAAGTTTTTATTTTTATCATCACTAATTTATATCTAATTGAACATTCGCTATACTAATTGAGATTGTAGAAGTTTTTTACAAGTATGTTTCTTGAATAATGAAGTGGTGGATGTATTGGTAATAAGATTTTACAAGAATGCCTAGGAAAGGAATGTTTTTGTTCTTGCTAAGTTTATAAGTAAATTTTAAAACATCCACCTCCTCAACACCCCCTAGATTTTTAAAACAATACCATAACAAGGCCTTTTAGCATCATGACGATAATCTATTCACAAAAGTTTCAACAGACAAAACTATTCACATATATTAGTAGATATCCGTTTATCTCGTAAGGTAAAAGTAGCATTCTGTCTGGTCAAAATTCAGTCCTTTGGTGGTGAAACTGGTGTGACTTCTCTAGGACACAGGCCTGGGTAATGGTATATGGAGGCCTTGCTCTGCTCAGGTTATATGGTTCCTATGCTGAGCTATACTGACAAGATCCAAAGGAATACATGACATTACATTTAGAAATGGTTTGACTGCAGGAGTTACGAAAAAGTTGTCAGTTGACAACCAATTGCCTTTGGGGCTCCAATCCAGGTTTTCTGTCTGGATTTACTTCCATAGTCTTTTTCATGTTTTGGATATGACCAGAAGGCAGTGGAAGTTTAAAATCAGGGTTTTTCTTCTCCTAGATGGAGTGCCTTCCTAGGCTATTGAGCTCCATCTACCTGAGGCAGTCAGTTATGAGGTGCCAGTTTTCTGCCTTCACCTATTCTTCGGCTTGGATCTGGACTTAGTTGTGAGAGGCTATTTGAGATGATGCCATGGTCGTATTTTATAGACAGTAGGTGCTTGTTCCCACTAACACCACTCGCTATCACAGCCTTTGGGACATATATAATGTATGTATATAAATATTAATGTACATTATGTGTTTTTAGAAGCTCAGAAAAAATTAATGTTTTTTTTTTTAATATATAAAATGTTAGGTAAACAAAAACACCAGAAGACAAGACAAATTGCAAAATAGTACATAAACAAACAAACAATTACTGCAAAATTTGTTCAATTTAGAAAAAAGATATCAGAAACAAAAAATGAAAAATATAAAGTGGGATTTAAGCCTAAAATACTCAGAGATAATGAAGCTATTAATTAACATACAATATAATAATTTGTACTGACTTTTTTTTACAGTACTAACACCAAGACAATCAATTGATAAAAAAATGAACAAGAACAGAAAATGCAATGTTGATCAATACAAATTTAGTTAAGTGAAAGCAGGAAATAAAAATACGACAAACGATCTTCGGGTTAGTTGTACAATAACAAATAAATACTAATACAGAAAAACCAGTAACTATGGAAAAAGTTTTAAAAACTAATAACGTGACACTGGTAAAAAGGAAAAGAAAGAGTTAATTTGAAATATGTTGTAACCTAGAAAAGGTTACTGAATAAGAATAACCAAAACAAAGGTCGGTAATGGAACGGTAATCTTTATAACATTAGCAACATACAAGATTTGTCAGCGGCATGTAGTAAGTGTGCTAGTGGTGAATACCCCCAGACAGTATATTCTACTGTATTTATGAGGATTGGGACATAACCATTATAGTCCATAGGTACAGTATAACAAAATATGACTTGAAACAGAGAGAGAGGGTTAAAAACACAAGATGACATATAGATTTATGTCCGCTTGCCTAAAAGTGCAAGTGACAAAACCATGTCTCAAGATTACCAAGAAGAAAGAAAAGGTCAATTGAGTATAATATTTGATAATTTTGGGAACAAAGGCAGAATCAAGAGACTGTCCTATGCCTGTCTGTCAGCAGGTGGAAATGGCCTTGCCAACCTTAGGATTTTATCCTGCGTTGAAGGAATTCAGATAGTGGATGGACCTGTGTGATTAATTGGTACTATTATTGAAAATTAAAAAGGTAATTACAATTAATGACTAAAAATTAAGACCGCCTTTCTGTCCACAGTTTGAAAGTCAGTCGTCAAAACATCTGAGGTTATCAGGCTTAGATGAGATACCAAGAGCAAGAGAAATTATTTCTGCTCATTTGGGAGTAATGGTGTGAGGCATAGATAAAAGAAGGAATTAGTTATACAAGCAGGCCAATGCCTGCAACCACTACCTGTAGGAAGAGGGGATCTTCCAAATTTGCAGAGATAATTAATATTACAAACTAAAAGACCTTTGTTGTAATCATTACAGAAACCTGGGGAAACCCCAAATTCCCAAACACTGTCAGCACCCACTCTGATTTTGAATCAACATCAATATAAGTTGAGTGATCGAGTGACCTAGGTCACTTGGAGTTAGAGTTGCAGACGGAAGATGAGTTAAGACAGCAGCAAAGGAGCTGCTGAAAACCACATGACCTACTGCTGAAAGAACTCCCAGCTTTGAGCACTGTTCCAAGAAATTTGCACTGATAAGCAAAAGTGTCACTAAAGAGATTTTAGTGGGAAGGGTTAATTTTTGTTATACCAAGAATTACATAAACCAAATTGAAAACTGATCAAAAGATTTTTTGGTTTTTATTATGACTTCAAAGACATTTCTATTTTTTCATCATAACACAGCTCGCAGTGGTTTGAATCAGTGCTACAATACTGAAGATTTATTGATCCCTACCAGCTCTGTGATCAAGAAACACAGCATGAGCAGAGCAAGGTGGTGACTGAAGTTGACAGTAACCAATGACCATTGAACCAGGACAGTATTGAACAGCATGGGATTGACCCTGCAATCATCAGCCTATGACTATTAGGACCGAGACATCTTCTGGTATAGGCAGTGTATTGCCAGGATCAGAATATCAAGTCACTGCTGATCAGGCTGACCCTGAATCAACTATAGGGTAAAGTCTTATAATAAACAATAGATATATAACTTCATAATATATATATGAAATAAAATAAATAATAATTGCAAATTATATTACTTTTAAGCAATATTTAAGTTTTTCAGTTAAACTTAAAATTTGTTCATTTTTTGGAGGTTCAACAGAGTGCCTCATCTTTCCTTGGTTTCAGAACACCATATATAATTAATAATATCACTTACCTGATTGATGTTACCTTCAGCATCCAGACTCCAGAATTTCATAGATATACCTGTCTGTCCATTTGGCAGGATATATCAGCAATTGACTGCTTATACTTCTCAATTTTTCTTTTTTATATGCACTTATCATTGGTGTGAGTTTTTTTGGTGTGTGTGAGCATGCACGCATTAGCTTCCCATCTGTTCAGATGTGCATACATGTAGGGTGTCATGATTATTTGTCCTTAGTTTTTTTTTTCCTTCTCCACTTTACACTCACTCCTTAACCTTTTTCCTCTTTTCTTTCAATTGATTACTTCAAACGTTCTTATAGTGGATATTTCATAATTGAAATTTATTAATTATTATTTATTAAATGGTACGTATTACATATGTCAGCCTGTGCATTCAAGAAATCTAAGTAAAAAAAATGTGTTCCCTGGCAGAGATTGAGCCTGCATCCCCCTTTGTAGGGGAAACCAACATTTGGTCCAGTGTGCTTTACTGTTTGGCTACAAAAAACATCACAGCAGGCAAAGTTCTATTATCCCTTTCTAAAGGAAGCATATCTTCTTCACTCAGATTATTTTCTCAAAAAATTCATATCTGTTCGGTTTTGTACCCAAAGCATAATTAAAGCAATTTCTAAAGAATTGATGGATATATTTTTAATCCAACATTTTTATAGCAGATGCACAGTCAATAGATGTAATACACACTGTTTAATAAAGAAAAATGGGACGTCTATTTCAAATATGAAGTATCCACTATAATATCATTTGAATTAATAAAAATGTCAGATTTAAAAAAATATATACAGTGTGTGATGGTTAAATTGTTTTCTAAATTACACATAAATGAAAATACTGACATCTCATTTTAAGAGATATATTTAGCGAAATTACACAAAAATATCTTGAAATACTAAAAAGTAAATTTATTCAATGAAATCCCCACTGGCTTCAACCTAAGCCTCCTGACAACTTCGGAATCTCCTGCAACTCTTCTGAACAGTCTCCTTGTTTAAGTTGGTGAATGCTGCCATAATCATTGTCTTCAGTTCATCTTTAGTATTACAAAGAATTTTGTTGGTCTCTTGTTCAACTGTGTCCCACACATAATAATCAAGTGGGGGGGGGGTCAGAGTCTGAGGAGTTAGGTGTCTAGATGTAAGGAGTGATGTGGTCACAGAAATTGTCAACCATGACTAGATTCTTCTGCTTGTGTGGTATGGTGCAGAATCCTGTTGCCAGACATAGGTTCTTCCAGCAGCCACCCTCTTCACCCAGGACAGCACTAACTCCTCAAGGCACTTGATGTAGGTCTCCATGTTCAGCCTAAGTCCCAT